CCACAGTCCCTGAAGTGAGTGAGTACACGGCTACAGATTTCACGGCAGAGTCGTCTGGCAGCGAGAACACCCTGTCGTCTTTCCCAGTGACTGTGTGTTTGTCTTGTCTCAAAGATTTGAACACCAGACAGGGAAGTTTGACGAAAGTTGTTCTCGCCGTCTGTAAGAATAAGTGTGGAGGCTCTGGGGCAGGTGAGTAGCTCCTGTCTTGAAAAGTGAAAAAGTTTTGGGAAAAGAATTCTTTCCCGTCTTGACATCTTTCCTGTCTTGAAAAGTGAATGGTTTTAGGAAAAGAATTCTTTCCCGTCTTGACATCTTTCCTGTCTTGAAAAGTGAATAGTTTTAGGAAAAGAATTCTTTCTGTCAAGTAAGGCTGTGGGGCTCGCAACCAAAAGGTCGTGGGTGGTGGACAGGTGCTCTGGTGTGGTTTGCTCCTTTTTTCCTATCAAACATCTATCGTCTTGATCTCTCCTCCTTCTTTTTTTGTGTTTGTTACTCTTTTGTAACACTTCTAATCTTCAGCACTTATATATGACCTTATCTTGTTGCAAGTGCCGTAAGGTCATGGGTTCAAATCCCGCCAGGGGCCCAATGCTGTGTCCTTCGGAAGGGCACTTTGCAAGAATTTTCCTCACTTCATTCAGGTGGAAATGGACACCTGAAGATCTTGTCAGTATGTTAGTATTTGAGAACTTAATCGACTACTTGCACCGTAAGCTTCCAGGATCTTCTTTTCAACATTTCTTTCTGAAACTGTTCACCAGAAACAAATTTCTACATATCGGGGAGTTTAAATAGAATTGTTTGATAATTTTGCTGAGCTCTAAGGTGGCTGCCATGTACCGGATAATATAGTTTTTGGACAAATTGATGAGTAGCTTTGTGATCAAAGTATGAGCACTTTTGGAACTGGTCAATTTTATGTGACTTCACTGGCCTGTAATTTGACTGGTCATTTTGTGAACTGGTACTTTATCTGTCTGCCGGGATGTTTTATCCTACTCTTCAGGGTCGAATCTGCCCAACTCATAAAAAGTGAAAATTGTGTCGATGAAGGGTGTAGAACACATTTTGTCAAAAGTTATATAGAATGTTCTTGTTTCATCGATGTCACTTTCTTCAACTTCTTAATCTGTTGTAAACATTTTTCTCTTTGGGTGGTTGGCAGGTGCTTTGGTGTGGTTTGCTCCTTCTTTCCTATCAAACATCTGTTGTCCTTATCTCCGCTCCTTCTTTTTGGTGTTGGGTACTCTCTTGTAGTGGGTGGTTGGTGGGTGCTCTGGTGTGGTTTGCTCCTTCTTTCCTATCAAACATCTAGCATCTTTTTCTCCCCTCCTTTTTTGTGTTTGTTACTCTCTTGTAGCATCTCTAATCTTCGGCACTTATATGACCTTATTGTGTTGCAAGTGTCGAAAAACTCTTACTAAAACTAAAACTAAATGGTTTTCTGTTTCAGGCCGTAGAAAGCGGGCAGTGGATGTGGACAGTTTGAAGACATGGGCCGAGGCTAAGAAGGAAGGATTTACTGGCATGTACCGAGCCACTCCACGGGGCTGGCACCAGGATCTGTTAAGTAAGACTAGACTTAGTTGTGGGGGAGAAAGAAATTTAGTTATAAATATTCTCCCCAGTGGGTCAGGGGGAAAGGATAGGCCCTGTAGACCACAATAGGAGGTAGCCTTCTTCAGTATAGAAGTGAAATCATCATCATTATCACCGTTGCCTTTCTCACCCCGGATCAGGATATAGGCCACGAACACTTTCCACCTTTCCCTATTCTGGGCTAGTAGCTTGATGTCACTCTCATGTTTTCCCATTTTTCTGTACTCTGTAAGGGTGAAAAGACTAAGTAACAAGGGCTGAGTAAGTGTGATTAAAGGGCCTTTTGAAGGCTGGGGCATAGGGGAACAATTTGAAGACATGGGGGCCGAACATTTTATGTGCAAAAGAAGCAGTCTATGATATAAAACAGAAACCCGTTTGTAAAAATGTAACTTAATTCTGTGTTTGCAATTTCAAGTGAGCTGCTCATTGTGTTATGTCAAGAATTTATGAATCAGTTTGGGAAATGAATCATTTTTGGACACGTCTTCTCAGCCCTTGTATTTGGTGAAACCCCCCCCCCCCCAAAAAAAAAACCATTAAGCACTTTTGTATTTTATGTCTTTTTTTTCCAGGAACGCCAGGGGGACAATATGTATTCACAGTTGGGGAGGATAACTCTTGTTCTGATACCGGCACTGACTTCTGCAATGGCCCACTTCCTTCTAGAGAAGACTTTCAGTGAGTTCTTTAACTGTTTAACTTTTAACTTTTTAACTTTTTAACTTTTTACTTTTTTGTTGCCTTGACAGCCATCTTAAGTTCATAATGCCCCTTGTCAAATGACCATTTGTGACATGGTGTCTCATCCGTTTCACTCAGATACAGTTCCTATGGTATTTATAATATTAGATGAAATCACGTATTTGTACAAGTTCTCTTTTTGTTTTTTACTATGAATGTACACAGTTGTAATGTAGCAGCTTAATAGGGACAATAATTTCCCTCTAAAAGATCTCCCGTGTTGGATTCAGAGGTTACGGTGCTCGCCTCTCATTCAGTTTGTGTCTTTCTATTGAAGTCAGGAAGGGAGGGTTTGGGGGGGGGGGGGGGGGGGCTCTCGTGACCTAGAGGTTAAAGTGTTCGCTTCTCTTTCAATAGGCTCCGTGTTTGAATCTGGATAAAGAAAGAAAATTTTCTCCTCTAAAATGTTCTCCTTTCACCTCGTTTCTTGCTCTCTAGCAATGTTCTGCCGTCTGCTTTCGTCTTCACTTTTTGCCCCCACCCCCTCACCTCTTTTGCCCTCTCCTGTGGGCTCCAGACTCTTTCTGCAGCCTTTCTACTTCTTCTCCTTGGCTCCTTCTTACTGCTGTCTTCCAGCTACATCCCTGAGTAAGATCTAACACCTAGCCGTCTCGGATGAAAGCGAAAAATCTCGGAGGTCCCGTGTACAAATTGAGCACTCTAAAGATGCCTTGGTGGTCAAAAATCGACAAGTAGTAGGCTTCGGCTGCCACCTGGGCAAAATTTTGTTCTCATACCTACCGAAAGTGTTTAATGTGTCCTATGCGCTCATATGCCCTTATACAGTTGCGAGCGCTGTAAAACACTTACCAAAAAAAAAGGACCGGTGATGTTTTGACTTTTGTTTAGTTGGGTGCTGGTTTCATTCGAGAAAAAAGCATAAGACACGTCATGTTGCGTAATGGAGTATTTGTCCTTCTTTTGTGTAGTGGATAGAAAGTAAGTCTTCAGGACAGGAACAACATTTTCAAAGAATTAAAAAAACAACAACACCAGCGCTCACTTTGTTTTGAAGATAGGTCAAAGATGTTGAACTCCCTATATATAATAAAACTGATGACACCTATGTCTAAATTAGGAATAAGGACACAGTCTGTGTGATATCATTACTGTAAAGGTGTGGATGGTCGATATCAAACAGGATAGACCACAGACACATTAATATGAACACAAGACACTGAACACTACCGCGCCATGTTGATTAGCCGCTACTCGCCAAGTGCAATGATTCTTTTATTGAAGAGCTCTCATCAAGCATGAACAGTTGTTTCCCTTGGCTTCTATTAATCAGCCAAAACATGAGGGTAAAAACATAATACTGTAACAATTACTTCCAGATTTTGAGAAAGCCTTTCCATATAAAAAGAGGTGAAATACCGTGTTTGTTTCTTCAACAGAGTCCTCCTTATCGTGTGCAACGGTGCTGGCTGTCAGGATTATTTAAACGATAATTCTGTCTTTGGAACAACACCTAACAGTAACGGTTGGTGGATTTTCTCTGGGTTTTCTCAGGTTTTAACTTCTTTCTCCTGCTCCAAACTTTGAAAGCGTCTATTGTGACTTAAAACTACAATGTCCTTCAGCATGGGCTGTCTAGTTGTTGTGTATTTATTTATATACTGCAAGCAAAATTGCTGCAGGGAATCGATTATTGTGGAATTTTATTATTTAAAAAAAATTGTTTATTTCTGTTGATCTAAGTTTCTTCTGTTTCAGTACCATGGGCAGGCCTATTTATTCCACCTTCCTTTGACATGTTTCATCACCGACGATTATGAGCTGCCCACTGGGGGCTCTCGTGGCCTGTAGGTTAAGGTGTTGGCATCTCATTCAAAGGTCCCGGGTTCGAATCCGGGTAGCGACCGAAAATTTTTCTTCTCTAAAAGTGTCTCCTTTCACCTCCTTTCCTGCTCTCTAGCAATGTTCTGTTGTCTGCTTTCATTTCCACTTTCTGCCCCCCACCCCCTCACCTCCTTTGCCCCCTCCTCTGGGCTCCTGACTCTTTCTGCAGCCTTTCTACTGCTACTCCTTGGCTCCTCTTTACTGCTGTCTTTCTGCCACACCCCTGATCTTCTGGTAGGAAAGATCTACCCATAGCCTTCTCGGACAAGGGCGAAAAATCTCGGAGGGCCCGTGTGCAAGTTGCACACGTTAAAGATCCCTTGGTGGTCTAAAATCGATAAGAGTAGGCTTCGGCCGCCACCTGGGCAAAATTCCAAAATTTCCTATCAACTGAAAATATTAGGTGTGTCCCGCGCGCTCATATGACCTTATGCAGTTGCGAGCGCCGTAAAACACTTTACAAAAACAAGAACTGCCCACTTGCAATTAATTTTTGGTGACCAAAAATGTCTTTTCCTATGAACCTGACATCCTGGCAAAGAAAGCCAGGAGTCAAATCTACAATTATACCTTTCAGTTTCAGTCTCATGCCACGAACGCCATGTGTTTCCTCTATTGAGTTTCACAAGAGATAGATCTAGTCCATGTAGATCCACTACAGGAATTTCTGTTTTTTTTAAAGAAATACGGAAACCCTCATCTGGGATGAAAGAAAAGGCACTTTATCTGTTTGCTGACGTAAACAATGCCAGACAATCATTAGAAAATCAGCATCTGGGTTTCACCTGTATTTTTCTTACCTTTCTGCTTCTACACTTGCTTACTAGTTTGTTGATGATTTGTGTAAAGAAGATTGAATACCATACTTATTTTAAAGTGTCCAAGTTTTGTTTTTACTTTTACATGTCATACGCGTTTGTTTTGAAAAGTAGAGACACTGATTTATCAGAATCAGGTAGAATACTTGTGGAGTATGAGCATGGCGGATTTTTATGGATATTTGTCGCTTTAACGGGGGTAGACTATGTATTCATTGCATCATTGACTTTTGCATTCTTTTGTTTTTTACAGTGGACAATGACGATGACAATGTTGTTGTTATTGTTTTGGCTGTCATCTGCTCTATTATGGCTGTTGGGATCATTTTGGGTGTCATTTTCTTTGTTTGCCGACATAGAAGGCAGAAGCATCACAAGTGAGTTCAAATGAAGTCAACCATGAAAAGGGATTCTACCCTCTTAGTTTAAAAAGAAACAAATAAACGACAGCAACCAATGACACAAAAGTTACCAGCTTTCGTCTGCTGTGATAGGTAGGTAGGGAATCAGGCCATCACATGACGTTTGCACCTCTCATGGAGAACATTTACATACCCATGTACAATCGGGAGAAAACTAGGGTGTCTATTTCTCTATACAGTCTCAACTACTCTTTCGATGATGTAGCTTTAAAGTTGTATCTTTGACTGTAGGAGCAAAGAAAGTCTGATAGACTTCTGTACCAGATAGAGAATTTAAGTCACGGTAAAAGTGAACGTTGTCAACAATGTGCCTTCTTCTGAGGAAAAAATATTGCTTCTGACACAAAGTCAAAATATAGCAAATTTGGTATTTTTTAACTTATTTTTTGTTTGTTTATCTTCTTGATTGTAAAACTTTTGGTCTCTATTGCAATTACTCCCTTTATGTTCCGTCCAAACCTGATATATTTGGTGGCCCAGTGTGGCGACTTTCAAAACCATCAACCGTTTTATACTCTGAACTATGAGTGGCAGGGGGGAGATCAAAAGCTGACCTCCTCCCTTTAAAAGGTCGTTAGCTGTCTATCGATATCGATGTTGACTAAAACGGTTTGCGAGATACAGCTTTGCCAGGGCAGGAGATAAAGAGGAAGTAGATTGCCCAAGTATTAGTCCCCTCACCCCAGATCGTGACTACCTAGTTGCTCCGATGGCGAGACACAGTCAGTACATCTGGAATCCAGGAAGATGAAAGGTTGTGATAGGGATTATTATTTTTTTTTACAATTTGGGATATTTCTTAATTTTGAAGTCTGCCCGGCTAGCGTCCTAATTGTGTCTTAATCACTGATCAGACAATAGTCAGGTTTGTTTATTTGGATTACATTTTTTCACTACACAAAGCCTTACACCACTCACACTTAAGAAAAAGTTGTTTGGGTGTTTTTTTCGGCGGATAAAAAAAAATCTTTTTCTTTGGCGTGTGTGGTGTAAAGTGGATGGCTTAGTGTAGTGAAAAAACTCAAAGAGAGAGCGTCTGATATCCTAAGCCCGTGGTAAGGAGAAGGCAAGTCTTGAGAAAAGAATTCCAAAAGCCTGGTTGCACTATTGCATTGTTTGTCTCTCCCACGCCTCAAGGTACAGGCCGTAATAGTAATAGTAATAGTTGACAACTTTGTGAATACCCAGAGTGTTTACGTCTGAAATGGACTCAAGTTTTCTTCTCCAACCACGAGTTTCTTCCTCTAGAAATACACCCTTTGGCTATTAATTTGTATTCCTGTTATGTACTATCTTTAACCATAAATAAGAAGACATAAAAACCTTCTTTAAATTATAATCAAGGAGTTTGAATTCAGGATCTTTGCACCAGAGATCATCTGGACATTCTGTACATAATATGTGTGCTATGCCAGCATGTAAATCCATGTGCCTTGATTTCCTCTACTCAGATGTTGACAAGTATTTGAAGTTTTGTTAACACATTAAAATGAAAGGGAAAGTAGCCTCCATAAGAGCTTTCTTTGGGGCTGTATTGTGCAATGGTGCCATATTATGAAGAAAAAGACATTATTATGTTCCCTTTCTTTGAATAGCGTTGTCTGACTTCTCTGTAAATAACTTTCTATCACTTTCTTTTATAAGGGAAACAAGACCTGTACAGCCTGACACTCTTGAGGAGACAGAGATGATCAAAACACGAAGGTGAGAAAAACGTTCACCCCAGTTCTATAGAGGTGATCAAAACAGAAAAACTTTGACTTCAGTACTATAGAAATGATCAAAACAGAAACACTTTGGCTTCAGCACTATATAGAGATGATCAAAACACGAACATGAGATAAACTTTCACTTTTGTACTATTGAGATCATAAAAGCACAAAGGTGAGATAAACTTTCACTTCAGTATTATCAAAACACGAAGGTGAAAAAAACTTCAGTCCTGGGTTTCTTTCGAACTTTATACATCTATTCGTCTACTGACCGAAGATCAATGTATTTGGAAAATCAACCTGGCAAGAAGAAAAATTGATTTTCTGAATTTTTTTTCTATGTTTTAGATTTCTTTGACATTATTATTTTAACTGTAATTTCCCACAATGTTCAGTCAATAAATAACCGGGAAGGGGTTAGGCACAGATACAGATCCGTTCTACTAACGGTGATATAATAGTGATAGGAAATCCCAGCACGAATTGCTTGTACCGGATTCATTGTCGTAGAACCTCTGTGTAGACAACAGTGCTGGTTTTTTATATGTGCCATCTGGAACTCCGTCCTGGGCAGCAGGTGTTTTTGCATGTATTCTAATAAGAGTCCCTGGACCCAACATGACTCATTGCGACATACAATTGTCCCTGTGAAAAAATCGCAGTAAAGAAACCCCTATATTTTTCAAAGTCTGCCTCTGAGCTTTAAAATGTGTCTCAAAGGTTAATATCCGGTATTTTATTTATTTCACAGCAAATTTTTCATTTGCTTTGACAATATGATATATTTATTTGCCAGACCTATCCCGATTCGAACGTTCAGACGAACTCTGGTACAGCTCCACGGAGATTCAAACTTGCTGTTCCGGGCTGAGTTTGAGGTTAGGGTGATTTAAAAAAATTGATTTTGACCATTTTACAGGAGATGCTTAAAAGTCAGCACGTCTACTGTGTGTATCTGTGTGTGTGTGTGTGTGTTTGTTTGTGTGTGTGTGTGTGTGTGTGTGTGTGTGTGTGTGTGTGTGTGTGCGTGCGCGCGCGTGTATGCACGTCTACTGTGTGTGTGTGTGGGGGGTGTGTGCGTGTATGCTTGTGTGTGTGTGTCTATGTGTGTGTGTGTGTGTGTGTGTGTGTGTGTGTGTATGAGGGGGGGATTTATCGGATTCCTTATACAACATGTAATATATCAATATTATGTTTCATGCCACCATCTAACGATATAACGATACTTTTGTCTTTGACCTTGACAATAATTATCCGGTCAAGATAGTTCATCACCAGAAACAGTCTTTTCCAAGTACTTGAACCTGGGATCATTTCTGATCTTCAAGCCACTTTGCCCCCCTCCTCTGGGCCCCTGACTCTTTCTGCAGCCTTTCTACTGCTACTCCTTGGTTCCTTCTTACTGCTGTCTTTCAGCCACATCCCTGATCTTATGGTAAGTAAGATTTACTCCTAGCCTTTTAGTATGCAGGCGAAAAATCTCGGAGGTCCTGTGTGCAAGTTGCGCACATTAAAGATCCTTGTTGATCCTAAAATCGATAAGAGAAGGACAAAAATCAAAATTCTTACTAAACTGAAAACTGTTTCATGTGCCCTGTGAGCTCATATGACCTTATGCAGTTGGCTGCATGCGCTGTAAAACACGTACAAAAATACAAGACAAAAAAGAAACCCAGTGTCTCAGTGTCATTAACCGTTTCTCTCTTCAGGACCTACGGAAGCTCAGCGCTAGACTTCCCCACGGGAACGAACCGGTGGATGAACTGCCCTGTAAGTTAGCCTGTGCTCAGTTTGTGGTATTGCTTTGGTTTGTCTTCACGGCAGTGGGAAAAAGGGCGTGAGTCAACAACTTCTGGGTTACATACATTCATCATCATCATAGCCTTTCTCACCCTGCACCAGGGTATAGGCCACGGACAAACACTTTCCACCTTTCTCTATCCTGGGCTAGCCTCTTGATGTTATTCCAAGTATTCCAACTTTTCTGTACATCAATTTCTGTGATTCTTCTCCAGATTCCACGCGGCCGTCCCCTTGATCTTTTACCCTGTGGATTCCAATACAACACTTTCTTTGATATGCAGCTGCCTGACGTTAGATACATTAACCACAAAGAAATGATCACAATCTACGTCCGCTCCCCATGTTGTTCCTAGGTACTTTCTCAGACCAAACATTCTCCAGAATTTTCTCGCGGACAATAAAATCTGCTTTATCTTACTGCGATTTTGGCGATTTCGTGGATCAATAAAGTTTATCTTTTTTTATCTTGCTATTACTATGGTGTTTGTCTTGGTTCAGCAGTTCATCTCTCTCTCTCTCTCTCTCTCTCTCTCTCTCTCTCTCTCTCTCTCTCAAATGAGGAGAACATGAGGGGGAAAATGCATAAAGTACAACCAAACAACAAATGTCTCCTGATATGTGAAAAGATAGAAAAGATAAGGAATAGAATTAGAGGGACAAGAGGGGGGAAAAGGAGTGATAAAAGTACAGCAAAACAACAAAAGTTTCCTGCTCACTTCACGGTTGAGAGCCGTACAGATTTACAGCCTAATCAACGTCGTTATCATTACAACAGTAATAGGACTACCTCTTCACTTGACTAGATGAAACCAGAGCCCTCCACAGGTTACATAGTGACTATCTATAGGCCTACTATAACTACGTGTAATATCCTTTTGTTACCTGGGGTGGAAATCTCCTTTACTGACCTTTGACCCG